ACACGATGCACGATGAAGGCCAAACTCGGGCCGATCACCAAAACGGTCGCACGACTGAAAAATCGGCTCAAAATGAGCCAAAAATCGTGTGAGCCCAGCGTCATACAGCAGCATGACATCACTGCCTGACCTCTGACCCCCAGCTGTGCTGAGTTCTCACCGGGAAACTGCTCAGATTACACCTTCATCACCCTCATCATCCTCCTCAGTAACAGAGAGTGTTTGATTGGCTGTCGGTCCTCAGTGGTGCAGAGGAATCTGTGTGTGTGTGTGAATGCTATCTCAGAGGCAGCGCCATGGAAACAGCACATTATGCTCTGCTGCCCACAGACAGCACCATGGTTACTGTTGCTAGGAGACAGTGGGAGGTCGTGCATCCATTCACACAGCCATGAATAGAATGTAATCAGATTACTGTAACTACCATCTGCTGTTTCTAAAGCTGTACGATAGATACCTGTTGATCAGTGACAGCCAATCAGAGTCCTTCCTGGATCGTCTGTTACTACAGACTGACGTCATTTCACTGCTCCAGCAGCACAGACACAGCCCAGAGGTCCAGTTCAGGTGAAGCTATCAGACAGCTGGCACCTACACCTGTCAGTCAGAGAGGCCACGCCCCTAATGATGCAAACTTGAAGCTTTAATTTTAACAGTTGAGTTATAAAAACATCCTCGTGTGTGCGTGCGTGCGTGTGCGCGTGCGTGTGCGCGCGCGCGGTTCCTCCAGTCTGGACTACACTTCCCAGGAGTCCACTCAGGTGAGAGTGATGTCAATTTCATCATCAGCTGATCTACTCCAGAACTCCTGGTGGAGAACCACGTGACCCACAGAACCCCCTGCTGTCTGCAGATATCTCAAGACTTATGACGTCATATCTCACAGGTGCACTTGCAGAAATGAGTGCGTGACCAAACGCAGCGTGTGTGTGCTGATCAATAGCCGATGACGTCAGGGTCGGATATTATCACCATCATCTTCCTCAAAAACAGACGGTGTTTGATTGGCTCCTATCGTCAGTAGCGTGGATAGTGTGTGTGTCAGAGAGACCCTCACCCACGCGGATCGATCATAGTAACGCTTTCACACCGATAGGATATCGATCAGACTCACCGGGCTCTGGCGGTTCCACTCCGGTTCGTTCCACTGAAGCTGCCTCGTCACAGAGCAGCGCGCGGCGGACTCCTCATCCTCCTCCGACCGGGATGAAGGCTGGAGAGGCGGGGGCGGGGCTGGACCCGGCTTCTGTCCGCAGTCACGGAGCTGCAGCGCCGCCTGCTGACTGAGCGCTGTCACACGTTTACCACAAACCCGCGTGAACGTGCACACCTGCGCGCGGAGGTAACGAGCTTGTGTGTGTGTGTGTGTGTGTGTGTGTGTTTGATTTTTGCTGCAGACTCACACTGAAGCCTGGACTGTGACGAGCGGTCAGACTGAGGCTGATCATGTGACAGCCTCATCTCGGCCCCTCCCACACAGCCTTAATTGGTCGATTCATTCTGACCAGCAGTCGGTTTAGGGAGACGTGTGTCCAAACTCTGAGTGCTCTTTGACTCCACAGGAAGCATACCCACACCCACCCACACCCACCCGCCTACCATCATCCAGCAGGTGTGCAGCTGCTCCTGTGAGTCTTCATCAGAGGAGATGATCGCATCACTGACTCTCACCTGTGGAGGGTCTCTGAGCTGACCTCTCAGCCTCTGTGAGAGCAGCTTTCTGCTCCCGTCATCACACCACTCTACCCCACTGAGTGTTTTTAGCGTTAGACGACTCCAGCTGGAGACCCACGCTCCACAGGACTCAAGCCTCAAATCATTTCCTGCGTGTCCTCTACGACTTCCTGTCCAGTGCCTGGACCGAGAACATTCAAAAAACGACACTTTTGTTTGCTCCTAAAAAAACTTTATTGAAACATGTGACTCAATCAAATTCACACTGAGTGGTTATCAAAACTGACTTTATATAAAACATCATCGGGGTTTTATGGGCGCTTCCTCTCCTCGTGGTCGCACACGGGCGTCTAACACTAACCTCCACTCCTCGCTCGCCAACCAGAACGGTGTGAGCACTCGATGGGGCGGAGTCTCTATAGACCAGACTTAACGAGGATCGATTGACCATTTCAGTCGTCCATCAGAGTCTCTCGCATTCAAAGCCAGAACCTGTCTCAGAGGGGCGGGGCATGTCGATGTAGAACACCTCCTTGTTGACGGGTGGCGGCGTGGATGGCGGACTCCCTGCCCCCGGGTCCTGGGTCAGGGCCTCGTGGGGACGGTTCACTAACGAGTACTTCTTTTCAGGCCGGCTCAGATGAACCTTGAATCTGGCTCCGCCTCCTGTGGCGAGACGACCGTCAGCCTTGGGTTTGAAACGCTTCAGCTTGACGGTGTCTTTGGCGTCACGCGTGCACGGCAGCAGGACCGCCACGTCTTTGCGGAATTTGGAGCTGAGACCAAAGTAGATGAGCGGGTTGTAGAAACTGGCAGATTTGGCAAAGAGGCGGGTGAAGATGCTGGTGAGGTTGGGCACGTGGAAACCCCAGGCGGACCACATGGACACCACGGCGTACGGCGACCAGGCCAGGATAAAGGCTGTGCAGATCACTATGGAAACCTGCAGAGACAGAGAAAGTGATCGAACTGACCGAACGGCACTCTGGGGGGCAGGAGACGACAGCGACAAACACTCACGACGGTCACGTCTCTCTCGATCTTCCGCTGGCGGTCGGTCAGGTCGCCCTCGGCCGACAGCGCGTTGCCTCGCTTCACCGTATTGATGATGGACACGTAGCAGAACAGCATGACGAGCACGGGGATGAAGAAGCAGCACACAAAGATGGAGACGATGTAGGACTTGTAGACGCTCGAGTAGTTCGCCTTGGCCCAGTCGATCTCACAGGTCCCGTAGCCGCGATCTGCACAGACGACAGACGCCGTCACTACAGGAAGGCCTTCTGATCACTTCCTGTCCTATAAGGGCGCTCTTCACCTCGTCCAGAGTGAATGAGGCTCTGTGGAGCAGCAGACCCCTGACAGACCAATCAGCACGCGGCAGCAGGACACTGGTGTTTTATGGTCCCTGCTTTATCTGAGCCTCATTCACTCTAACGCACCTGCAGCCACTTCCTGTACTGTGAGGGGGCCAGGGGTCAGAGGTCAGGGTATTCTTGCCTGTGTAGCTGCCCCAGCCGAGCAGCGGCGCCCCGGACCAGAATCCAGCTGCGATCCAGATGAGCAACAGACACACGAACACACTGGTCCTGGTGATGTAATGCGCTGAAACACACATGGTAACATGGTAATAACATGGTAATAACATGTTGACACTATGATGGTGAACACCTGATGGGCGGACCTCTGACCTCGGCCTGGGTGGCATCCTTTGATGTAGCGTGTGATGCTGATCACGGTCAGCGTGTAGATGCTGCTCAGACCGAACACCAGCGTGAAGAACCCGTCCACCTGCGTGAGAACACGTCACAGGTGAGCCCGTCACGTCCCGCCACAGGCCGAGCCTGAGCTGGCACGTCAGTACCTGGCAGGTCCAGATGGAGGAGATGAGGTAGCCGCTGTCCTGGAAGACGTTGAAGATCTCGATGATTCCTCTGGAGTATCCGAACACGGAGATGCTGGCGTCTGAGACGGCGAGGTTATAGGTCAGGTAGTCGGTGGGCAGCAGCGAGGCTCTCTGCCTGTAGAGGACGAAGAGGACGATGCTGTTCCCGAACCAGGACATCCATCCTGGAAACACACAGGTGCATACAGGTGCATACAGGTGCATACAGGTACTTCAGTGTGTACAGTAAGTACACAGTGTACACACAGTACTACACAGTGTACACACAGTACTACACAGTGTACACACAGTACTACACAGTGTACACACAGTACTACACGGGAGCAGCTGAGGGTAATCCAGCAGGTCACAACTAAGAACACTTAAAGTGCAGCTGAGGTCCAGCAGACAGGTGAGAGTGACACCTGCTCATCAAAGCTGCTGCGGCGTGTGAGAGGCTGTGCCCATCAGAGTAATCAGAGTATTGATCGCTGATCACTGACAGACTGAAGCCAAATAACATCACACAGATTCAGGACACAACGATCACACAGCTCGTGTGTGTGT